GTAACATTGTGACAACCTCAGAACTAGGGCTGGTAATTCAGCCACCCGTTCGTCGCTCTGTTCAGCCACACCCTGTGGCTTGGGTCTGTGCTCCCAAAGTTGAAGCTCCCAACACATATTTTTCCCTTCACCAAACAGCAGACGAGGATCTGCCTAGACATCCAAAGACACGACGTGATCTGCACATTGGAAGATGAATCTCGAACATATTCCTGGCACAGCCAATTATCTCATCAATGCGGCACACCTTCTCCGCATAACGGCTCCTGACGCATCAGCCCATCTCATGAGCCACATGAACCAACTCCTCGATGAACATGGGGTTTACCGATCCGAGGCCCAACTGCAGCATGCCTGTGGTGGCTGTGGCGCCATTTCCATCACAAGCTGGGGAACCATGAACACCGATACTCCTAAACCTTCACGAAGAAAGGCGAAGAGATTGGCGTCCCGTTCGACGGGCGCAGGCTCCAGCTCGGGTTCGACAGAGGCTTCCAAGACAACTAACAAATACCGGACCATGCACTGTGTTCGTTGTCAAAGGGATACCATAATCACACTCACGCCACCCGGGCGGGCTTCCCGACTGAAGGCCAAGAAACCTACCAATATCAAGAGACCAGCGGCCCAGGATACCCCTAAGCCGACGGTGAATTCCAGCAGCAAGAAGCGGGCCAAGAACCGCAAGGCCGGATTGCAGGCTCTTTTGTCGGGACAAAAGCAGGCTGCGAGCCCGCTCAGCCTTTCCCACTTTATGAAATGAGTCAGCGAGCTGAACCGTCATTGTCCCAGCGAGTTGTCAATCGAACCATCGCTGCAGACAGAGGCGCGAACCTTCTAGCGTCTGCTTCTAGCACCTGGCAGAGTTCCAACCCACCTGCGCGCTTCCAAAAGTGGGTAGGCAGATCCGGCATGACACAACATCAAGTTGCCCCTCCAAAAATTCCCTGCCCCTCCATCGGCCGCCACCAAACGACTCCTCCTCCATCCCAACCATCACAACCCGACTGCAAAAATGGCGATCGACGACCTGACCAAACAGACGCCCCAAGATTTCTTCGAGAACATCGGCGACAAGGTCAAGAACCTTGCACCCGTTGTCGATGGCACCGAAAACGAAGATGATGACCACCGGGCCGTCGAGGAGATTGAGTCGCTCTGTATGAACTGCGGCGAGAATGTGAGTGCTTCGAGATTCTGCGCCCGCACCCCAGACATGTAACTGATACTAATTTTGCGCTCAGGGAGTTACCCGCCTTCTCCTCACTGCGATCCCTTACTTCCGCGAAATCGTCATCATGTCCTTTTCATGCGAGCACTGCAACCTTCAGAACAACGAGATCCAAGCTGCTGGAACCGTTCAGCCCAAGGGAACCCATTACGAGTTGCGCTTGACTGCGCTTGATGACTTTTCCCGCCAGGTCGTCAAGTCAGATACTGCGACTGTCAAATTTATCGAGCTGGATCTCGAGATCCCGGCTGGTCGTGGCCAGCTGACAAATGTCGAGGGTCTCCTCAGCACCGTTATGGAGGATCTGGAACTGGGACAGGAGGCCCGCAAGGAGCAGACTCCCGAGGTGTACCCTAAAATCGCCGAGATCATTGCCAAGGGCCGTGCGATGTTGGCTGGCGACTCATTCCCTTTCCGCTTCTATGTCGATGACCCAGCCGGTAATTCGTTCATCGCCCCTGACCTGAAAGACGGCGTGGGCAAGTGGGAGAAGCACGAGTTCGCCCGCACTCGCGAGCAAAACGAGTCTCTAGGACTTTCCGACTCCGATCCCAGCGCCGCTGCCAACCTCCTTAACCCCGGCTTGACGGCTGAAGGCGACATCATTCCCAACGAGGTATACAGCTTCCCCGCGACCTGCCCAGGTTGCATGCACCCATGCACCACGCACATGAAGATGGTGGACATTCCCCACTTCAAACAAGTCGTTCTCATGTCGACTGTTTGTGACGATTGCGGTTACCGCTCCAACGATGTGAAGACCGGCGGCGAGATTCCCGAGTTGGGCGAGAAAATCATTCTTCAAGTCAAGGACAGCACCGACCTCGCTCGTGACATTCTTAAGAGTGAGACGTGCGCTCTGGAGTGCCCTGAGCTCCAGCTCCAGGTGAACCCAGGTACACTAGGCGGCCGTTTCACCACTGTTGAGGGCCTCCTCACGCAAGTCCGCAACGACCTGCACAGCCAGATTTTCGAAGCCGATGGCTCGGGCCACGGGGGCGACTCCCTCGCCCTGAAGGAGAAGACTCAGTGGGATGAGTTCTTCTCTGGCCTAGACGCCGCCATCGCTGGCGATAAGCCCTTTACCATCATCCTCACTGACCCCTTTGCCAGCAGCTTTGTTCAGCCTCTGGTGGACCCTCCCGCGCCAGACCCTAGTATCCAGCGAGAAAAATATACCCGGACGGATGAAGAAGAAGAGGAGTTGGGGCTCAAGGATATGAAACTCGAAGGTTACGAGGAGGATCAAAAGAAAGAGGATGAACAGAAGCTGGCAGACGCATTAGAGGCTGCGAAGAAGGAGACTGAAGACAGGTGACGAAGTTTGACATCAACCAAAAGAAAGTAGATGTAGTAACGAATCAAAAGTATGATATAGGATCAGTATGAATTTTTGCCTGATGAAGTCGTAGCTTATCTTTTCTGTCTCACTACCCGCCTCGCCCCATGTTACCTGTTAATGTCTACCACGTGGTTGGAACGTAACACATCAATAGACGCAAAGACAACTAGGTTGATAATCACTAGGAGCTGCAGTGTTCAATGCTGTTAAAAGGGGGATCATTATTGGTTATTTAACATCCAACATCCAACCCATGGCTAGACTCATTGGAACGAAATTGCTGATGCGCGGTAGTTTTAAACGGGTGTTCTTAATTGTCGGCGTCTTTCCTTAGCCCGCCTAAGCAACGGGATGAACAGCGAAACTATGGCAACAAAATGGAGAGCAAGGGAGAATTGTGTGAATATGACATGAGTCATGTCTGCCCGGTTCTATGATGTCATCTTATGTTGGTGCTGTGTCTCTGCGTGAGTTCGCCAAGACAATCTCACATGGGAATGCAAGCCATTGACTCAAGAGATCTTTGAACGTACGTGCAATTGCGGGGGAATACTCACTAGCTGACTGCGCTTGGATGTTTTGCAAACCCGAGGCATTCAAGCATTATCAGAAAGCTTGGTCGCAAGTACCAGGACGTTTTTGATTGACCGAGGCAATGACTCCATTGTCGACAACTGAATGTAACACAAAGAGGGCATTTCTGTTGGCGATCCTAACGTCATAGAATCGAAAAATAAACACCGAAGAGCCAATGGTATCAGCCAGCAGCACCAGAGTGACATTCGCTAGTGATTTAACCACAGATGGAGCTCTATGAAGCAAGGATTAGCATCAGACTCGTGACAATGTCGAGACTTGCATGTTGCTAGGATTAGACACAGTAGCGCTGTTGCGGTGTTCCGGCATGGAATGTCCAGGGGTATTATTGATGTTTTGATGATGGTACTCACAAAGGACTGACGCGTTATGACGTTCTTGAACGAAGATTTTCCTTCACCAAAACTCAACGTTCTCATCCCGAATAGTTATAAATGGAATGATGCTTCCAGGGTAGTCTCATTTAAGTGATCAATGCCATTGCTTCCTCGTAGTACTCTCTCATATCACCAGCAAGCCCACATGCGAACCCAGTACTCTTGATATCAACACTGAAACAGCAGCCATGGCTCCTCTGCAGTCCTCGCCGGGCACCAATGCTGGCAAACAGCTCGTCAAATCCCTGGCAACTGCAACTGTCAACCCTCCCCAATTGGTCCAACGACAAGATGCACCGACCGCTACCGTTACTGTGTTCGCGGACAGTGGCAATGGAACCAGAACGGGCCTTACTGGCGGGGCTATTGCTGGCATTGTGATCGGCTCTGTTGTCGGGGTCTTACTTTTGATCTGGATTATTCGGTCATGCTTCAACTTGGGCGCACCCCCTCAGGAACGCGAGAAATGGTATCGCGACCCTCCTCGACACCGTCATCGTTCTCGCAGCACACGTCGGAGATCTAGCATATCCGTGCCGCCGCCGGTCATAATACAAGACTCAAGATCGCGGAGCCGTCGTCACGCATCGCCGTCGTACGTCTACGCCACAGAAGCCGACAGGGGACGAAGAGGATCCCACCATGGTTATTGAGCTGGCATCTATGAAATTTGCACCGAACTGGTCTCGTACCGATAACCATGAAGTCCCAACGCGGTCGGTCATACGTTGTTGGATGGGCTGGTTGAACCAGTTGTAGAGGATAAGAGATTGAGCACGATACATAATCTATCTTGACATGGCGTAAGAGCCACATATTTATGATTGGAAAGATGTCGGACATGAGGGAAGGCAAGGTCGACGTTGTTGTGGGATTGCCTATTGGACCGAGTCTCAGTCTCAAGTAGTCAACGATGATATGTCAGTACGATTTATTGGCTGAGACGACTTTTCTTTTATAAGTTAGATAATACCCGTTTCGAACCAAATCAAATCAATGACCCATTGTTGAACTCAGAACGACTTCCGATGTGCCAATTGACGTGGATGTTTGAGTTGAGACATCATCTACAAAACTACTTTTAGCCCCAACGAATTGATTCATCGAAACGTTGTCACAATGTGCGCATCTGGAATATGCCTCTGCAAATGCCCCACCACTGTGTCATGTTTCCAAACAAGACCAAGCAGGACCACGAGAAGTGAACATTTTTGTTTCCACATCGACTTGCCGTAGAAAACAACACCAAGACATGAGTGATGTTTGGATCAGAGCACGGCAGATTAGTGACTTGTTATTCGCAGGGCCGACAATCCGATTGGTTCTCGGAGCCCATGCAAACCAAACGCAACTTCGTGAAGCGGATGTGCGGAGAGCCAAGCCAAATGACCGTAAGCGACAAAAAGTCATTGCTGCAGCTCAGAAATAGAATGAAGTGCAAAAAAGAATTGAATGACGACTCTGGGGTTCGAACCCAGGCGGTTTCCCACTGCGGGTCTGGTTTCTGATTGAGAACCTAAACACAGCGCCTTAACCACTCGGCCAAATCGCCTTTTCTAATGTGAGCGTCAAGGGTGCAATGCCCCGTTATCAAGGACAGCTGACGGCAGAAGCCTCTGCTTTAGCGGGGCAGGACAAGGCTTCACAGCCTTGCATTGATTTTCCATCCGTCACAACTCCAAGACTGCACTGAACATCAACATTACGGCATGGTCGCCAGACCCTCCTCCAGTTCGAGCAACCGAAATTAGACGCCCACCATGGCATTCGACGATGACGATACCACTAGTGTGATGGGCCCCGCGGCCAACACTGCCCCGCCCGAGGACGCTGACGAAGATGCCCCCGACTATAAGCTCTTCTTGTCCATGTTCGATAAAGCTGGTGTATCGAGCAAGGCAATTCGCAAGGGAGAGAAGGACTTCGAATCTCACGGGACACGGGCGCAGGACAACCTGCTGGAGGCGAGCCGCAATGTCATGGACAATGTGCTGAGCTACACGAGAATACACCGGGAGGAGGCTTGGGTGCGAGGTTGGTGCTTCCCAGACTGGTGGGCGGATCTTGAGCAGGCTGGAGAGCAGGAAGGGCTGTGGCTGCGGGACAGGGTCGTTGCGATGGAGCACGAGCGAGGGAACTGGCAAAAAGACATTGGACGGGCGGTACCAGCCAAGATCGAGCGAGCTGGTGCTGGACGGCTTTGGCTACTGCCTGAGGAGGCCATCTACCTGATCGAGCGCGGGACTGTCGACCTATGGTGGCCAAACCGGACACTGGAGGAACTGCTCCCCAAAGCTGAAGCTGTGGGCGAAGCTGGACTCGACCTGGGGCCGGACAACTACGATATCGGACTACCGCTGAGTCTCGAGGCAGCCTATTCTCTCTTCGTCGGCCACGACGGCGAGAGGGGCAAGATCTCACTCCCCAAGTACCACGTCTTCTCGCACCTTAAACGAGCAGGCTTCCACGTTCTACGTGCACCGCCGCAACCCCAAATACTGTCACCGACACCCCCCACAAAGACATTATGGGAGTGGCTATTCTCCCTCATCGGCCAGGGCCAGGACGCGCGGCCAAGGCAGCAACCATCCGAGCCCCTCATCCAGCCAGGGCTCTATCGTGCCTATCGGCCCATCTATCAAAAGTTGGCGATTCTTCCCCGCCACAAACCGCTGCCTACACCTGCAGAAGTACAAACACCGGATGAGCCATTCCGGGTATTCTTCCATGTGTGGAAAACTGGTGGTGTTCCCTTCTCTAAGAAGGCCCCTCCACCACCCGACTTTCGCATCGCAGTCGTCGATGCGAGCGAATCATGTGTGCCATCATTGGAGCAGATTGAGGCGCTCCTCGAGTCGACACCGTACGACCCGCCCAACAAGGCAGCCTGGCAAGGACCAGGCCGTATGTACCAACGCCTAAAGCATGGTCACCGAAACGTGCTTGTGGCAATTGTGGACCGCGGACTTGTCAACTTTATGAGATTTGGCGAAGGCGCCTTTGGAGAAGAGAGACTATTTGAACGGTTTGACAACAGGGGAGGTCCTAGGGCAGGTAAGAAAGGTGGTCGTGGAGGAGGAAGGGGACGAGGCCGGGGAAGGGGCCGGGGTGGTCGAGGGCGAGGACGTGGTGGATAAATGTACCAAATAAAGGATAAAAGGATATTACGAGAACGACACGACTTAATTACGATCATGAACGAATATGCGAGCCATGCAACCTCCCTGAACTGACGTGTTTGAGTTGCTGCGAGGGCGGTTTGCTTTGATCCTTCTTTGATCCTTCTACTTAACTGCTGCAGCCCAAGGATGGATGCACCACTAGTTTCGGGCAATCCATCGACTGCCAAATTAGAAGATACGAGGGCCATCTAACCAACACGAGTTGTGACAAATTCATAGCCAATGGCAGAACTTCAGGATTGCGTTCCATTCGAAAAGCCTCTCATTGCACATGACACGAGAAAAAGGACAACTGTCCTTGACAAGCGCAAAAGTAACGACGGCTCAAGGTTACAGGCCGCATGCAAGCCATTTGTGTTTTGGGTTTCGCTTGCCTGCCTAGACCTAAGACCTGCTTCTTCACTCGCATGTGCCATGCATAGCCCAGCCGACGTTTCACAAGCCTATTCTTTCTGCTACAGTTTGTTGGTCATTTCTGAGATGCCATCTTCAGCGACACAGGTCCGCTCAAGGGCGAGACATGGTGAAAACCGGGTGTGTTCCAGCGGCCCGAGGCCCTTGGTAACTTGTCGGGTTGCATTGTCGATAGACTTTTTATTTTTTTATTTTTTTCTTTGATGAGAGGTAACACGGCCTAGCTTTCCGATAGATTGGCCAGAGCGCTGGCGCGGGTTGAGGGAATTAATTCGACTTTGGACGCGCTCGTGGCGCCTGTGAGGAAAAACACAAACGTCAACGCAACTGAACGGCTATTATGCACCTTGGCATCATACTACTTCGTACGTACGGCATCGAGGGCGCGTTGGCTGGGCACGAGATAGTGGGTTGTCTCAACAAGACGGTAAGAACGGCGAACAACTGGTCAATACGACACACATTCGGCGAGTGGCGCGCTGACCTGGGGAGGGGGCTATTGTTGAACTACCTTATCACAATGCCAACAAGCGCAGCTGAAAATTGCAGTTGCCGTTTTGGTCGGCCATAAACAAGACTTGCAGGGGGTGTGTTAAATGGTTCCATTTAAGGGTTGGACTGGGGTATTCGGGTATTCGACTCGGGCAGCTGAGACGAGCTGCTGTGAGCAACCAACCAACCTGCCAACACAAGGGCAACCAGCCAAGAAAGCTAATGTATTATTTTGATAGTCCTACCTGGCTTTGTACCGGATACAAGTTTCTGAGTGGCGAGCGGGTGAACCAACAGAAGACCCCCAGAATGAATGGGCCGATACGAGACCCGCAGAGTCGCGAACTTGGCGGAACTGGAAACTCGACATCTGATCCTGAGACGTAGCGCGACGGTGCTTGATTGCGGCCTCGAGTCATGGAAGGATGAGCCGTGGACGTTTGCTCCGGTCAGCTTTGGGCTTTGGACTTTGGACTTTGGTTCAGTTCAACTCGTACTATGTACGGGCTTTTGTTTTGTTTGCTTGCGTAAGATGGCGATGCGGCATGGTGCAGATGGTCTAGAAGGGCAACACGGTATGATTACCGTGTAGCAGAATCAGGTAATCATGGCATCTGAGTTTCGCAACTCAGCCGGGTAATGGGCAATACCCGGGCCTCTGCAGTCAGACAGGATTGCACTGTGCGTACATAGCACAGATTATGTCGTAAGCACTTGCATCAAGCCTTTGTCTTGTCAGGCTTCCATGGATGAGAGCCGGATACGGGCTGGGACACATCGTGGGAGCTGGGAAGCAATTGGACCTTACTGGCAGCTGGTCGCGGCGCAGAGACGACGTGGAGCCATTTTGTTTAGGCCATCATCTTGCATCCTTGCCACCAATCGTTAGAAGAAGGAAAAGGAAAAAAAAAACCTCACACCCCCAGACATATCCCCCAAAGGACCATTCTATCAAAGTCCCGCAAAGCTCAAAGAGGCTTCCAACAGGAACGGCGGGTAACGGCATCGGCAGTTCGCGCCTTGATTCCGTCGTTTGGAAAGGGCGTCTGAGTTGTTACGGGATGTGTTGAGACGGTCTAGGATGATCTTCCATCTCGAACCAAAGATAGATCTTTATGCCACCCGCGCTCCGTGTAGTTTTCTTGCTTCAGCACTTCGGGCAATCCAGGGGGGGTGCGCGTGCACGTACGGACGACTGACACTGCATTCTTGGGGCCAAATTTTTTTTCTTCCTTTTTTGCTGCGTCGTGATCACTGATGGGCACGCAAAAGGGTGTGTGCGTTGCCAGCGTATGGTGGGCGTGGGTGTAAGGCCGGATGTTTGGGAAGTGTTGCGAGATTGCTATGACATTGGCCGCGCCTCTTTTCTGGGCTTACCGGATTATTGTTGTTGATTGGCGTCACGAAGGGCCAGCATGTCACCATCATGTATCCATCAGCACATGCGTCGTCTATTTTGCTGGCGCGCTGTTGCTTCTCGATCCGTGGTCCTGATCTGGATCATGACCTTTTCAGTTCAGGGTCGCACAAGCTTCAGGTAGCCGCACAGTGCGAGCCACTGTACGCCGAGGTTGGACATTGCCATTGTCTGCGAATGCTAGAGAGCGATATGATTTGCGGGGACACAGCCCAAAGGGGTACGAGCCCGTCCTATGGGAGGCAAGTCGTGTCATCATTCTCGCCGTCTACCCAGCCATCGCTTGGCGCACGCACGTAATTCGTAATGAGGCACGGATCTACGAGTAGGTACAGTACTGTAGAGTCTGTAGGTAGCGTTGGTATACACTAGGGGGTGTGTTGTTCGGTCTCTCAGTTCCGGCGTTGGCACCTAGGCCTAGTGCACCTGAGCTGAGAGTGAGTTGTTGACGGTCAAGCCCAGAACCAGAAATGGCGGTGTCAAATCAAAAGCCAGCTCAACCGCGGCAAAGGCATCTCGTGTCTTGGAATCTTGCCTGGCCAAACTGTCCGGAAAGAGGAGACAGAAGACAGAGTTCAGGGACATTGATGGATGACTTTTAGAGTTGAGTCGACCCATCGCGTGTGTCGCCAACACCTTATCTCAAGCAACCATGACAGGGGGGGGAGGGGGAGAAAAGGATGGGCGAGCGCCTCCAATGTCCCGAGAACGCGCCGTGCTTCTTACTGCTCAACGTGTTTTGCTTGACTAATCGATTGACTGATGACTGATGACTGAGTGACTGACTGAATGACTGGTGTCTGCCATGGATTGAGTGTGATTGACCGACATTGTTGGTGGAAACCTGAGAAACGTTCGGCTGCGGAGTCGAGACCGGACAAATCCAATAGGCACAATACAAGCAAGACAAGAACAATGACCACCCACTGGGCCACCCTGCCACTGTTGTCGTCCACATGCGTGAATATGTACTATGTATGCCACTGATGCAGGAGTGAGTGGGTGAATGCGCATCCTTGCGACCTGTTGGTGTGTGCGCGCGTGAGT